GGGTTACTACCAGTGCCACGTGCTAGTGAGGCAAGGAATAGAAAGATAGGACAGATGAATGGGTGGCTAAGGAACTGGTGCAGGGGGCAGGGTTTCAGGGTCTTGGATCATTGGGACCTGTGCTGGGGCAGGGGTGACCTGTACAAGAGGGATGAGTTGCACCCAAACTGGAGGGGAACCAATATCTTCATAGGGAGGTTTGCTAGCACAAGCGGGTTTAAACTAGAGTGGCAGGAGGTTGGGAACCAGAGCAGCAGGTCAGCAAGTGGAGGGATTGAGGGGAAGGTGGATGTCAGGACCAGTAAATCAGAAAGAAAGGACAGGCAGAGACACATAAATGAACATGGTAGCACTAATGGGCTGAAGCGTGTTTATTCCAACGCAAGGAGTAATATAGGTAAGGCGGATGAACTTAGAGCCTGGATCAGTTCATGGGACTTTGATGCTGTGGCCATTACAGGGACTTGGTTGAGAGGGGGACAGGACTGGCTGCTCAGCATTCCAGGGTTTTTTTTGTTTTAGACGAGATAAAGAGGTAGCTAAAAGGTGGAGGAGTTGCATTACTAATCAGGGAGAATGTCATATCTGTATTCAGAGAGGTCATGCTGGAGGGCTCATCCATTGAGGCAATATGGGTGCAATCACTCTGATTGGATTATACCATAGGCCTCCCAACAGCCACTGAGACATTGAGGAACAAATATGAGGCAGATTATGGAAAGGTGCAATAAAAAGTATTGTCATTAGTGGTTGACTTTAACTTCCCCAATACTGACCGGGACTCCCTTAAAGCAAGAGGCTTAGACGGGGTGGAAATTGTTAAGAACATCTAAGGGGGTTTCTTGAAACAGTATGTGGATAGTCCAACTAGAGAAGGGGCCATACTGGACCTTGTATTGGGTAATGAACCTGGCCAGCAACTTTTGTTTTTGTTGTTGAAATGTCTAATACAAGGGGGCATGCAATTAAGGTGAGAGGGGGAAAGTTCAAAGGAGATGTGAGGGGTAGGTTTTCTTACTCAGAGAGTGGTAGGAGTCCGGAATGCACAGCCAGGGGTGGTGCTGGAGGCAGATACGGTAGGGGCATTTAAGGGACTTTTAGATAAGCACATGAAAATGCGAGGGAAGGATGGATATGGACCAATGGCAGACAGAAGGGATTAGTTTCATTTGGCATAATGTTTGGCCCAACATCCTGTGCTGTACTGTTCAATGTTCTAAATTCACTCATCTCTGCCTATTACTGACCCACAGTTGTCTTTGCTAATCTTTTCCTTTTTGCATACTCCTAAAAGCTTTTGTAGTCAATTTGTGCAATTCCTGCTAGTTCACATTCATGTTCTATTCCCCTTTATTTACCAGCAAGTGTTACAGCATTTGTACACCCACCTGGTGAAAACAGTGCAAAGGATACAAGAAGTGAGTTGTGGAAAATAAATCCAATGCAGTTGGAATGCCCCATAGAGATGTGATGCTATCCACGTTCACCAGCAAGACTCTCTCACCTTACCCTCATCATGCAATTACCCAGAAAAGAAGAAAATATGTTGCTGTACTACGTATATTAGGTGTGTCTCTAATTATGCCAAATTGGATAAAATTGAGGGCCCTGACTCCAAACCCTCCCACCCAAGAGCAAAATTTAATTATTGAAATGAGGTCAGACAAGTGGATCTCATAGAATATGAGTTTCCTGATTGGACCAGGTTAACAGTCCTAATCAGGGAGTCCTGGCTGACAGATATAAACAGGAACGTCAGAGGTTTACAGTGTCAGAGGGCCAGCTCTGTGCTAGCTGGATCAGTGCCAATATACTATGCACATGTAAATAAAAGGTGACTTGGTGAGGGGGATACAGGTAGTTCTCCTATAATGCGATAGTTGCATTCTTGTGTGACCTCATGCTATAGAAAATTGCCATAGAAAATCGCATTATGGGGAAATTGCTATACCTGTACAGCAGCAAGTTTGTGTCCACTATTCATCAATCACATTACAGCCAATTCGTGTTAACAAAACACGCGTTATAGCAGAACTACCTGTACCAGCCTTCATGGAGTTATTTCACAGCCAATTTGATTTTACTAGACAGTAATATTGCCAATTATCTCATCTCCTAGAAATGGAACAAATCAAGTTGGAGTGAAGAGGACCTCAAGTTGTTGTTAATTCAATGGTGTGGAACCTCCATGGTGCAGAGAAAAACAAATGAAGATGAACACCTTTCCAAATACCTGCACCTCAGGAAGAATAGCATCTTTGTGCCTTAGAAGACCTTCAACTTCTGCCAGTACGTTTTGGAAAAGCGCCAAAACCTCCCCCAGGCTACATTTCTAAAGTTATTGTTCTGAGCTATGCAACAGCAGTAGGGCACTATCAGCCCTTCAAAGCTCGATTTATTACAGCTATTTGAAGGCTTCCAAACTGCTACAAAGATGCACCTCCACAAAACAGAAGATGTTTCAACCATTAGAATGGGCATTTACTAATTTGAGGAGAACAGTCTTGTGTCTGAGGAAACTGATTATTCACTAAGTTTCAACATTTCAAGTTGACCAATTTCTTTCTCAGTTGACAAGTCCACCCTTTTGGTAATTATCTAAGTATAAAAGTATTACATAACTAAATTCTCCACAAAACACGTTTTTAGAACCACAAATTAAAACAATATTTTTCGTACACTTGCAACAACATTCCTACTCTCTTGCACCGATCATTAATACAAATTATCATTTGTTCAGATTGGAAATACCATGTACAACAGCTTTTATTATAATATTAGATGCCAAATACAACAGTAAGTGTACAATTTACAGATTTATTTTGTTATATTCTCTTTCCAACTTGCAAATACAATGCTACTTAATTTACATACAAAATGATTTTAAACAATAAGTAACTTCAGAGTTATGAATCTCCAGTGGATGGATGATATTTGGAGGATGGGTGCTTTGGAGAATGAGGACTATGTCTCCCCATCACCGACCTATGTTCACCGGGCTCTTAGCCCCCATTAGGAATGGTCCTCATATTTTCTTTATGAGTGACTGAAGAGAAAATCATCTTTTACTTCCACCAACAAATTAGCATGTCAATTTCAGATCTACAGAGAAATTATGAAATTAGAGGTTATTGATTGAGCAAGTTGTGAAACAAACAGCCAAATCCATACTTTGGGGAAAGTCTAAAAGTGTCAAATTTCTCAGGCAAACAAATAATGTTTAATGACTGATGGTCACTATTGTCAGATAACAGTCAGTGTATAAGGCAGCGAGATAACAAAGAAACCCAGACAGCAAGGCTCCAAAAGTTCCTTAGGTTTCTCATCCGTTTCCACCAAACATCTGGGAATCAAAGTTAAATTACTGGCACAGGAGTCGATCATTAGAAAGTAACACTGATTTTCCGCCCAGGACTAGAGGTTAAACTTAGTAATGGCACTGCACCAATACCACACACTGGAGGTGTGGTATTGATACTACCCCATAGCCATCCATGTTCTCCATCCGAGACAACAAGGTGCAGGGCTGGATGAACACAGCAGGCCAAGCAGCATCATAGGAGCAGAGAGGCTGACGTTTCGGGCCTAGACCCTTCATCAGAAAAGGGGGAGGGGAAGGGGGTTTTGAAATAAATAGGGAGAGAGTGGGAGGCGGATAGAAGAGGGATACAGGAGAGGATAGGTGGAGAGGAAACAAACAGGTCGAAGAGGCGGGGATGGGGCCAGGAAAGGTGAGTGTAGGTAGGGAGTTAGGAAGGGGATAGGTCAGTCCAGGGAGGACGGACAGGTCAAGGGGGCGGGATGAGGTTGGTCGGTAGGAGATGGAGGTGCGGCTTGAGGTGGGAGGAGGGGATAGGTGGGAGGAAGAACAGGTTAGGGAGGCAGGGACGAGCTGGACTGGTTTTGGGATGCGGTGGGGGGAGGGGAGATTTTGAAACTTGTGAAATCCACATTGATACCATTGGGCTGCAGGGTTCCCAAGCGGAATATGAGTTGCTGTTCCTGCAACCTTTGGGTGGCATCGTTGTGGCACTGCAGGAGGCCCAGGATGGACATGTCATCTGAGGAATGGGAGGGGGAGTTGAAATGGTTCACGACTGGGAGGTGCAGTTGTTTGTTGCGAACCGAGCGTAGTTTCAAAATCTCTCCTCCCCCCACCGCATCCCAAAACCAGTCCAGCTCGTCCCTGCCTCCCTAACCTGTTCTTCCTCCCACCTATCCCCTCCTCCCACCTCAAGCCGCACCTCCATCTCCTACCGACCAACCTCATCCCGCCCCCTTGACCTGTCCGTCCTCCCTGGACTGACCTATCCCCTTCCTAACTCCCTACCTACACTCACCTTTCCTGGCCCCATCCCCGCCTCTTCGACCTGTTTGTTTCCTCTCCACCTATCCTCTCCTCTATCCCTCTTCTATCCGCCTCCCACTCTCTCCCTATTTATTTCGGAACCCCCTTCCCCTCCCCCTTTTCTGATGAAGGGTCTAGGCCCGAAACGTCAGCCTCTCTGCTCCTATGATGCTGCTTGGCCTGCTGTGTTCATCCAGCCCTGCACCTTGTTGTCTCGGATTCTCCAGCATCTGCAGTTCCTACTATCTCATGTTCTCCATCCATTGCTTTATCTCTGAAGTTGACAAAATTCTAGACAGCATCAAACATTCACCACCCAGTGCCACTGTGGCTGCAGAATGCAGTAGCGACAAGGCTTCTACCAACCTCCACCATTGTCCTCCCCTATTATGATTTCCCCTCCAAGAAAGTCAAGGGTAGTAACTGCATGCGACCTCCAAACTCCCCTCCAAGTCATACACCATCCTAATAGTATTGCCTTTCCATTATCAAATAAAATAAAGAAAAAATATTAAAACAACTCACCAAGGGCTCTTGTGATGCGGTGGTAGTGTCCTTCCCCCCCCAAGACCAGGAGGCCCAGGTTCAAGTCATAGAATCATTGAGTTGTACAGCTTGGAAACAGACCCTTCGGTCCAACTCGTCCATGCCGACCAGATATCCTGAATTAATCTAGTCCTACCTGCTCCAGAGGTACGTGATAACATCTCTGAACAAACTGTTTATTTTTTAACCTATTTGTCTAATCAATCTGAATTAGCCAATCATCCGAAATGAAAACAGAAATAATTGGAGAAACTCAGCAGGTCTAGCAGCATTTGTGGAGCAGAAACAGGGTTAATATCGAGTCCAGTGACCCTTATTTCAGAACTGAGAGTAGCTAGAAAAAGGTGGTACTTATGACGAAGACAGGGAGTAAGGTGGGGGTGGAGGCGGGGGGGGAGCGGGGCGAGGAGGAGGAGGAGTGAGTAGTTAATTGGAGACAGAGCCCAGACAGGCAGGAAGACATTAGGTGGACAAAGGGATGGGTGATACTAAACCAGGGAAGGAGTAAAGTTGATTATGGGGACAATAAGGAGGTGAAAATGGGGTGGCTGTGCTTAAGCAGGCCATGTTATGACAAGGCATGGGGTGTGGGGGTAGCCAAAGGACATGGAAAAAGATGTTCTTGCTCTAAAATTACTGAATTTGATATTGCAGGGTCCCCAAGCGGAAAATGAGGTGCTGTTGTTCCAGCTTATGCGGAGCTTCGCTATAGTACTGCAGCAAACCTGAGAGGTGTTGACCAGGGAACATGGTTGTGTTTTAAAGCTGCAGGCAACTGGAAGCTGAGGGTCATTTCTACAGACAGAATGTAGGTGTTCTGCAAAGCAGTCACACAGTCGACCAGCACTCAGGCGAAAGGGAGGGCATTCGAACACAATATGGGGCAAATCTGAAGGCTTTCTCAGGGGTCTGGAACCCCCTAAATTTATTGATGAGGGGCTGCAGTTGTCAGATGCCCTCCACGGCCTTGCCCTACATTCCCTTAGAAATCTCCTCCCACCATTTATGTCGCACAGTTCAATAAACGTCTTATTCTACGACTGGAGGCCATTCATTCACCCACAATGATGGTACCCTCAGGAACTTGCTGCACTCTTCAGTCCAGTCACTTTAATCCTTGCCTGTATTGAGAATGCTCCTCTCTGATTGGACAATACTCGCAGCTTCTTTCTCATTCCTGCTCTACCTCCACCATTTTGCCTCGGACATACTTCTGAGAGTGAGAGTAGTCACTTGGAAACAAAGAAGCGAACACTTGTGCAACACTCTGCACAGCCTCCACACTTCCCAAAGTGCTTCGCTGCTAAACCTTTGAAGTGTGGACACTTATCAGGCAGGAAAATGGAGCATACAGCAAACTCTCAGTGATGGCAATATGAGCATGAGCAATTAATGTTTTCGCAATATTGGATCGAGGTTTAATTTTGGCCAGGAGAGCATAGCAGTTCTTCTTTAAAACAGTACCGAGAATCTTCTACATGCAACTCAGGTCTCAGTTTCAAATGAAAGCTGGCACCACCAACCATGCAGCACTCCCTCAGTACTGCACTGTATGTGTCATCTGAGACCAAATGCTCTTGTTTCTGGAGTGGGACTTAATCCCACATACTTCCGACATGGGTCAGGGGTTACTAACTGAAGCATAGCTGGCCACTTGGGCTCAAGGTTGCAAGATCATCGCAGGAAAGGTGGAGTGCAGAAAGACTGTGATAATTTGAAATAGTCGATCCAAACAGGATCTGGACATTGTTGACTGATGTTCGTCGATTTCTAAAGCTCCTTATGAGCTACTTTTCGGTCTTCGTGCTGGCAAGGCAGGCATTGGCTTGGAGCCTGGATGGTTCAGACTGCCGGCCAACCTTTGCCTGGCCTCGCATCCTGCCACGTAGCCCTGGTGTAGCTTACCCATCGAATTCTCAAGGCACAGCGCCGTCATGGCAGACGTGTGGTGAGCCTGGGCAAGCTTTTCCAGCCGTTTGACTATTTCATAGTCAGGAAGTGCAAGAGCATCAATGTCCAGGCCCAGTATCCGTGAGACAACCTCCCTGAAATCCAACAGCTGAAATAACAAATGTGCAACAGTCTGTTAATCATCCAGTTCAGGAACACATACATTTAAGGGTATAATTTTAAACCAAGACACGACTGAGTGAATCAGGACACAGTTAAACTGCATCAGCCATCCACAGCATATTCCATCTTAGATCACCATCAACTTCTTTCAAAAGAGTCGGGTTAAAAACGTAGAAACAGCAAGAACAACCACTTGCATTTATATAGTGCCTGTCACTGAATCAAATAAACTTACAGCATGGGAAGATTACATTGGGTTCATCTTGCCTGCGCCAGACAAATAAAATGTCTAATATAGTAAAGTGCCTCAGACCGCCTCACAGAAACGTTATCATACACAGTTTGGTACAGAGCCACACAAGGACACTATTAGGAAAGCAGATCAAAGCAGTAGCCTAAAAGGAATGTCTTTACAGGTTTAGGTAGAGCTAGAATGTCAGGAGCTCAGGGAGGGGATTTCAACATTCCAGCCTAGACGACTGGACATACAGTCACAAATGGAATGCACATGGACAAGGGACTTGAGAGTCCTAATTCGAGATTCTCTTAAGGTTAACATGCAGGTTTAGTTGCCAGTTAGGAAAGCAGATGCAATGTCAGCATTCATTTCAGGAGGGCCAGAATACAAGAGCAGAAATGTACTGCTGAAGCTGTATAAGGCTCTGGTAGATCACAATTGGAATATTGTGAGCAGTTTTGGGCCCCATATCTCAAGAAAGATCTAATGGCCTTGGAGGAGGTCCAGAGGACATTTACAAGAATGATCCAGGGATAATGGGCTTGTCATGTGAGGTGTTTTTAAGGAGCGGTGAGGAGTCTGGGTCTGTACTCAATGGAGTTTGAAAGGATAAAAGTGGATCTCAGGAACCTTACAGAATACTGAGAATTTTGAGGTGGACAATAGTTCTCGGCAGGTTGTAGAAGGTCATGCAGATAGGTAGAGACATGGCCATTGGTGGTTCTGAATACAAGGAGGAGGATTTTAAACCTGGCCTTGTCAGACTGGGAGCCAACATCAGTCAAAGAGCATAGAGTGAAAAGGGACTTGTTCAGGGTTACAAAACGGGCCTGAGAATTTTGGATGAGCTGGCATTTACAGGGGCTGGTAAAATGGAGATAGGCCAGCGATTAGAGGTTCTCCTGAGAGAGGGGGGAGGTCAATGAAGATGTGAATATTTCCTAATGAATAGTCAGAATGAAGTAAAGTGACAATGTGGTGTACAAGTGTCATTATGTACTACAAGGCATAGCTGAAATTAGAAATATGTTTCATTTTAGTCTCTCACACATGGGACATGAGTGTTGCTGGCTGGGCCTGCATTTATTGCCCATCCCTAGTCGACCTTGAGAAGGTGGCAGTGAGCTGCCTTCTTGAACTGCTGCAGTCCTTATACTGTAGAAGTATTTTGTCATTGTACCTGAGAAGGATAAGGAGAGAGCTAATGGAGGCATTCAACATAACATACGGTTTGAGAGAGCGGACAGTTAAAGCTTATACCCATTGGTTTGGGAATGATTGACAAGGGGGTTCAAACTCACGGGAGGAATGAAAGGAGATATTATTAGAAATGTTTTCACTCAGAGTTAATCAAACAAGGAGCCCTTTAGTGTAGAGAGGCAAAAGAGAACTTAAGACACACTGGGCATTATAATAAGGCTAAAGTCAGCAACTCCAGTTGAAGAGTTAACACTGGCACAGGGACAATGACCTAAACGGTTCCTTTTTGGGCAATTCTGCAGGTTGATCTTGACTTCAGTAACCACATTAAATGTGAAATGCTCATTGATATGACGAATGGACAGTATTATCAAATATAAAATCAGACCCTGAGTGCCCCCCAGGCCCAACGTGGGAAATGACTGGAATACACAGAGAAAGGGCACAAGTGGCCATTTGATGAAGTGATGAGGGGAATTTGAGACAATTCCCACTGGACATTCAGGACACGGGGGCTGAAAATAATGGTTGGTGGGATAAGTAGGAAGGGAGGTAACAGCTCACACAATAAGACCGTTAGAAATAGGAACAGAACTAGGCCATTCAGTCCCTCAAGCCTTCTCTGCCATTAAATAGGATCATGGCAGATCCAACATTCCTCATGTTGCTTTCCTGCCTTTTCCCCATAACAATCAATTCCTCTACTAATCAAGAATCTAGCCATCTCAACCTTAAACATACAGAAGGACTCTGCCCCCACAGCTCGCTGTGGCAAGGAGTTTCAAAGACTCTCAACCCTCAGAGAAGAAATTCCTCCTCATCTCTGTCTTAAATTGGCACCCCTTGATTCTGAGACTATGCCATTTCTTTCCCATTTCTATTGGGAGTTTTCTACCCCAGTGCTTTTCCAAAATTCACATTTTGAGGATTCAAGAAAAAATGCCTCAAGCTTGCTAAAAACACGACTGATCTGCAAAGAGAAACATCAAGACATATTTAACAACCAGTTGGATGCAGTAAGGACAGCTGAAGCTCATCAGAGCAGTGGGACTGGCAATGATGGCCATTGTGGTTTATGTAGGAATGCTAAACTTAGCATAAGGACTAAGTATTCAAAATATCTGGCACGGACAGAGATTGGGGAGATTATAAAAATGAGCCAATGGGAAGATGAATTAACAGTGAAGCAAAAACAGAAGGACATCTAACTGCAGCAAACATCTCAATACACAAGTTTAGAAAATGTAAGATATTTCATCATTTACACACGACATCCCTCTGTTCTAATTTCTAGCGTACAGTCATTACAGCATAGAAAAAAGCCATTCAGCGCATCTTGGCTGTCTACAGACCCTGAAGTACCACAGGGAACAGCCACGTCTCTCAATGTCACTCAGCACGTTTTAACTGACTGGAAATGGGTTAAGGGTAGAAGCAATGGGGGTGTTCAAAATGGAGGTGGGCTTGGATAGAAAAATAGAAATATTTTACTTGAGGGAAAGTTACTTGCGAGAGAAGGCAGAGAAGGAAGCTGGGAGGTTGTGGCTGGGATGGTGATGGAAGGGAGAAATTAATAGAAATGTCTTTTTTTAAAATGTTGATTGGCTTTGATCTAACTCTTTCTGACTGAAAGAGTGGAAGCAGATGCAATAGGACTTTTCGTACACGTATACGTAAAAAGGGAACATTTACAGGGCCATGGGCAGAAAGAGTGGAGCGGTGTGGAGGCTGAGATTCATTGGACAGCTCCTTTGGAGGGCCAGCACAGGAATGGTGGGCTGTAGGACCTTCTTTGTACTCTCTGATTTTATGAAGTAAATTGAGAAAAGGAGCACGTGGCTACACAGCAGAAATTTAAAAGGAAAGAGAACCCAAAAGAAAGGTTTTAATAAAATTATATAGAATGTGTGAAAAGAGTTTCCCATCCATCTTTATAGCTGAGGTTCAAGGGGCCCAATTGTGGAGTGCGAGAGGTGGAGGCTCCAGGAGAGAAAGAATCAATGACTCAGGCACAAATATTCCAATATCCTGGTCATTAATGTGAAGCACCTAATAATGGGGAGCAGAGTGATGGGGGGGCGCGGGGGCTTTGACCGATTCTCAGTCCCAAGCTCCCACTGGCCACTTATGAGTGGAACTTACAATGGGTGGCTCAATGGTTAGCACGCTGCCTCACAGCGCCAGGGATCCAGATTTGATTCCACCCTCGGGTGACTGTCTGTGGAGTTTGCAAGTCCTCCCCTTGTCCATGTGGGTTTCACCAGGTGCTCTGGTTTCCTCCCACTATCCAAAGATGTGTAGGTTAGGGTAGATTGGCCAGGCTAAATCACCCCATAGTGTCCAGGGATGTGCAGGCCAGGTGGATAAGCTATGGGAAATGCAGGGTTACTGGAAGTGCATCTGGGTGGGATGCTCTTCGGAGGGTTTGAGTGGACTAGATGTGCCAAATGGCCTGCTTCCACACTGTAGGGATTCTACGATTTGGGGCAGGGATGACGGAGAATGATCTTATGGGGATAGGAGGAAGGCTAGGTAACATGACAGTAAGAATGGGCAGTCTTGAATCAGCCAATCCCATGGAAAAACATACTGTCATTTATATAGTGCCTCAGCTCATCACTAACCTCTTCATGGACAATGAGGTATAGGTGATGCGTAGTCACTGTTGTACAATGAAGGAAATTTGGCAGGCAATTTGCTCACAGCAAGCTCTGACAAACAATGAGACAGTGACTAATAATTTATAATGTTGGTTGCTGAATAAATATTGGGGAGGACACTGGGGATAACTCCCTCAGTTTTCTTTAAATTGTACTAGGGAACAGAGGGCAGATGGGATGTTTCTAACTGGTCATCTGCTACAAGGCACATCCTACAGTGCAGCATTCACTCAGCATCCCACTTCTTCAATAACCAGGTGCAAGTTAGAAAGGGGGAAAGCAACAAGAAGCAAATCTTTAAAAATGTAGGAAGCAGCAAGGTCAAATTGCAGAACAAAACATTTTACAATAGTTCTTTTCCTTTGACATCTTGTTTGTTGCAGGCAATAGTGTTATGTGGGCGATATCACACAGTGTGTGAAAGACAAGGTGTATTTTCCAATTAATGAGTACAATTGATTCATGATCTTGCTATTGTGCTGGTGAAGTGAATTGAGGAACGGAAAGAGACTACAAAGGTACAATTAACACTGCCCAAGTTTTCTGCAACTATGAATCTAATTTGAGTGACTCAGCCTTTCTCACGTCATTTTCCCCATGTACAGATGAGTCCTTCCAGATAAAAGATGAAGTCACCATAGACCTCCTGGACCAGAGTGTAAGAGAGATGACTGGTGGTGGTTTAACCTGAGGGTCACCACACCTCAGATAGGGGAGAGGCTGAGGAGGAGAATCTTTCATAGTAATGTCAGCTGGTACAGGAACTGAACCCATGCTGTTGGCATCACACTGCATTGCAAACTGGCCATCCAGCCAACTGAGCTAACCAATCCCTCCCAAAGAACTGGGCTCCCCTCTCTAATCAAACACATATAGGTTCACACACATTCAGTCACTCATGAGCACACACATATATGCACATTGTGATGACCTTTGACCCAGGAGCAGTAGCAGTCAGGAAAATTCATATTGAAAGATGTTTGGCGAATCTCTAATTGTTTTTAAAAATGCTTAAAGAGGTCTTTTAAGAGCTTGATCTTCTGTAGAGGGACAGCTATAATTTGTTGGTTACAAAGAAGACTGGTTTATGTGAGCTGGCAGCTATTGATTTGAGGCCAGCACCTACAAGGAAGTTAAAATTTGGAGAACACACGACAAACAGAATGAGGCGGAGAGATAAAGGAACTAGCAAGTTGAGTTGGAGAGCTAAACAGGTAGAAAGCACATCTTGGACTGCTGCCATTGTTTCATTCATTGCAAAATTATTAAAGGCCCAAAACAGATTGTTCTGTGTAAAGGTAAAGGTAGATCCAGTCTGGTGTAGTTTGCCTCCAACAGTCTCCAAAAATGTTTGTGTTATCCTTTGTAATATAAAAAAAGAACTGGGCATGGATATTGTGGTATTGAAGAATCCAACAGACATTTATGATAACCATTATGTACACATATTACATTCCTCGGGCACTTATGTGGCTGAGGTAATGTTAAGCTGTTCGGTTAAAACAGAGGAGCATGCTTCCAGTAGAGTGTCATGCTTCAAGTGATTTGAGGTAAAATGGAGTATGAGATTGTCATACCATCAAGTTGCATGCTCTGATACAGTGATGATATCATGAGCATGTCTCTTAAAGGTATACTGTCTGAGACTTAACACACATCAGCACAATCGATGGGAGCTAAGAGTTAAGAAGGTTCCAGAAAGAAGTGTGCCATTGTGTAAAAGTTTGCATGGGTTTACATGTTTACATGGACTCTCTGTATTTACTTGGAAGGTGCTGCCTTGAGGGAAAGGGGTTGGAATTCTCCCCAAGGAAGATTGGAGCTCAGAAGAGGAAACTGGTGCCATAAAGTGTGGACACTTTGAAAATCCATCAGGTCCATTGTTGCTGTATTGATTATTCCAAGTATAATTTGTCAACTGTGCAGCCTGTGATTTTGCTGTTAATTTATGTTGATTTTGAGTTGAAGTATAAGTGAGAAACAATGAAACTTGCTCGGTAATTTCTTCATTTGGGGACATGTAGCTCTTGTGGTTTAAACAATCAATAATACACACACACACACACACACACACACACATACACACACACAACCAGACAATAACCTACAACAAGTAGTTCACATTCTGTTAAAGGAATTCACAAGATGCCGTGAGTCAAGCAAAATTGATTCTATAAAACTTCACCTCTCGCACAGAGCCTCGCCAACTGGGAGCACAATTCTAAAGCTTCAGCAGATGAGGGAGGCAATGGCCTACTGGTATTAGTCCTGGACTGTTTGAACCAGAGACCCAGCTAATGTTCTGGGGGCCTGGGTTCAAATCCTGCCACAGCAGATAGTGCAATTTGAATTGGATTAAAAATCTGGGATTAAGAGTCTAATGATGACCATTAGTTAATTGTTGTAAAACCCATCTGGTTCACTAATACCCTTTAGGGAAGGAAACTGCCATTGTAGCCTACATGTAACTCCAGACCCACAACAATGTAGGTGATTCTTAATCACCCTCTGGTTAATGAATGTTGCAATAAAGACCTAACCAGCAACACTCTCATCCCATGGATAAATATATAAAACAAAAGGGGCCTTGTGCTGACCTAGATACACATCGCTGATGTCAAGGCCCTTACCATCAGCAGGAACTTGGGAAACTGTCTCTTCCTCATCCCACCAGGTAACTGTAACTCACAATGAACAGACAGACATTTGAAAGTGGACAGAATGCCTAACAAGATAACTTGAGTGTGAATTAGGAAGTGTTGGAAATTGGGGTTTTGGAAGTTGCTAAAAGTAGGCTGGTGAAATCGGACTCTGTCATGCTTGTTTCTGGATACACAGTCACATCAATTCAATTCAAACTTCTGTGCCAATATTGCATCAGATACACACCTGATGCCATATTGGTTCAAACACAACATTTGGTTTTCTTACACCTTCCTCAAACAATGAGTTGATGGATCAGAAGTTTAACACTGGTTTTAGAATCGGATCTAAGAAATCATTGTCATAATGGGTTTAACCTACTCCCAAATGTCCTCTCTTCTCCTGAGGTTTTCTACCCAGGTTCTTGGCACAGAAAGCCACCCACACTGCCCATCGATTCTGTAAAATAGCACTAAAACATTCATCATCCTGACTATCCGACTTTTTCTCCGCTCCATTGTACAAATCCTCCCTGCTTCTTCTGCTTCATGGTGAACACGTCTAGCATTTTGCAGTGAAACACTCCCTCTTCTGGGCAAATGGAGCAGGAAAACAACCGCATCTACCAACAACACCAGCACGGCAACAGGTCTTCAACGGAAACCAAACACTTTCTTGTAGAACCAGAGTTTAACCATTCTTCAGCATTTCAATGCTGTTGATAATTAACAGGGCATTTTATTTTGTCCTTGCCATTGTAGAGTGTTGCAGAGATACAGTGTGCCGTGCACCCATTGTGTAGCCACCCAACTCATTCTCCATTTTTTAAAAAAATGCCCCCCCTTGAAAAACTCTGTCCTGTGCCAGGAGTATGGACAGGAACACAGGTACAGAAGGAAGCCACTCAACCCCTCATACCTCCTTAACCATTCAACTAGGTTATGGCTGACCTCAATCTCAAATCTGTTTATCCATCCTAGCACTGTATTCCTTAATTCACTTAACCTCCAAAAACTCCATCCAGTTTGGTCTTGCAAAGTTCAGTGTCCCACATAAAGACTATGTCTTTTTATTTTTATATGTTTTTAATTATAAACTGAAATGAGAAAAGGTCTGCTTTAAAATCAAGGATTGCAAAGACTATTCCCTCAGATGAGGGAGAACATGTCCATCCTTGGCCTCCTCCACTGTCAGAGGGAGTCCAAATATAAACTGAAGGAACACCACCTCATATTTCGCCTTGGGAGCTTACAACCCAATGGCCTGAATATTGACTTCACCAGCTTCAAAATCTCTCCTCTCCCAACCTGTCCATCTTCTGACTCACTTATATGCTCCACCCTTCCCACTGACCAGCCACAATAACCGCCTATCTCCATCTCACCCATCCTTCCCCTAGCCCCACCCCCCTTCCTCTATTTATTTCTGGACTCCCCTCACCACCCCCCAACCCTCTGCAGTCCTGATGAAGGGTTTTGGCCCGAAACATTGACTTTCCTGCTCCTCAAATGCTGTCTGATCTGCTGTGCTTTTCCAACTCCACATTCATTGACTCTAGCTTCCAGCATCAGCAATCCTTACTGTCTCCAGGACAGGGTACTGAGTTGGATGATCAGACTGAATAGCAGAGAAGGCTCAAAGAGCTGAATGCCCTCCTCCTGTTCTTATGTTCAATGTTTCTGTGGTTTTATTCTTCTCAGTTCATGGCCTCAGGACATCACAAAGCATTTTACAGCCAGCACAGTATTTTGAAAATTCCAGACACTGCAGGAAGCACAGACAATGTCCCAATAACAAGAGCCTACAAACAGAATGGAATAATGAGCGGGTAGTCTGCAGGTTGAGGCATAGATGTTGACCACAGCTCCAGGAAAACTCTGGCTCTTCTTTGAACAGGGCATGGCATCTTTACACCATGAGAAGGCTTGGAGGAACTTTGGCTTAACATTTCATCCAAAAGACAGCACGTACCGTCAACAATATAGCCCTTCCTTATCACTGCACTGGAATGTCAGCCTACACGAGGTGCTCAAGACACTTTAGTGGGAGTTAACCCATTAGACTTCTGACTCAGAAGCAAATGAGGTACCACTGAGCCATCGTTTACAGCCATTAAACTTTGTAAAAACATCTTAGTGCTTCCATAAATGGAAATATTCCATTTCTCATGTCAAAAACAGAAACAGAAAGTGCTGGGAATACTCAATCAGGTCCGGCAGCATCTGTGGAGAGAGAAACGGAATTAATATTTCAACTCTAATCTGACTCCTCTTTTTATTTCAGATTTCTAGCGCCCATGATATTTTGCTTCGATTTTCGTGAGCATCCCTACCTGTCTCTCTCTTCTGGCCACTTCCTGCAGGGTTTGTTTGAGTGTCTTCAGCTCACTGCCCACAGCTTCCAGAATGTTCCGGGCTCGCTCTTTTTCCTCCTTTGCCTCAAGCTCAGTGAGGTCCAGCTCTGACTTTGTGGTGTTGAGCTTTTCAACGGCTGTCTCCTTCAACTTCTCCAACTTCTTCATAGATTTATTCAACTCATCTATTGTTTTGCTCTGCTCCAGCGTTTTAATCTGCAGGCACATTGGAGGGGAAGGCAATGCTATTGAATGGAATTAAGCACAACTAACTAACTACAGGAATGTAATGCAAATGCTTGTCTGATGTCCCACTATAGAGCTGGGATTGCATTTCAGCATCAACCAACTAATTCAGCCTAGTATTGTAGTGGTTACGCTCCAGGATTAGTAATCCAGGTTCAAAACTTAAAAATATGAATTCAGCTTTAGAAAGCAGGCATCAGTAAAAAGGAACGTGTTGTAAAATGGTTCACAAACGTCCTTTGCAGAAGGAAATTTGCTGTTCATTTCCAGTCAGTATATGTGACTGATATAATTAACTCTTAACTGCCTTCCGAACTGACAAAGAAGCTATACAGTTGTCTCATCACCTTCTCAGGAAAACTGTGGATAGCCAATGCATGTTGGCCAGCCCTGCTGTGTATTTTATCTCTCAGATCTATGCAGAAGATAATACTAGTTTCTATATAAGTACAGTAAACTTTGTATTATCTGGTACCTATGGGACCAAAAGTGTGCTAATTGATCAAATATTCCGGTTGATCAAGAGGTTCCCCATAATCAAAGTAAAAACACTAAGTAATAGAAACAATGTAGAGGATATCCACATCACTTTTATACTTCATAGACAGCATAAATCACTTAAATAATAACGCAACTTTGCCTTAAACAAAACTTACCAGAAGAGAGCCTTGCACCCTCAACTGACTATTTGGATGTTATGGTAGTTGAGGAGAAAATTGAATCCACTGTTGGTATTTTGCTTGGCCATTTGATTGAACAACAAGTATATTTACATTGAAGTAAATAATTTTTTTTAAAACCTAATAATTGGACAGAATAATACAAAAAACTTTGCAGTATTTGAAGTAGGTAATTTTTGCCGGTTTATCAAAAGGGCCAGCTCACTAAGGTGCCGGTTAAAACAAACTTTGTTGCAGTTTATCTGTGGTCATGATACATTTGCATTCTCTTGTAGCCCAGGATTCTGGAAATCAAGCACAGTGAGCATCAGCAATAAACAGGCTCAGATAACCCAACACAGAACAATTAAACATGATCTTGCCAACAGTGTCCATGGACCAAGAATGAAAAATAAAAACAAAAATTGTTTTCCCTTAAACATCAAAACCAGGAATATTTTTCCAAACAGAGATAGTAGGAACTGCAGATGCTGGAGAATCTGAGATAACAAGGTGTAGAGCTGGATGAACACAGCAGGCCAAGCAGCATCAGAGGAGCAGGAAGGCTGACGTTTTGGGCCTAGACCCTTCTTCAGAAATATTTTTCCATATGTCTAGTTATTTACAGCTACTTGATTTGTACAACATATATCAGCAACAAATTCAATTCACTAAACCAATGCTCCCATTGTTTATCTGACTCAGATGAATCAATACAATGAGTACTTAGTGCAACGATGGTACTTTAATTTCCATTCTATCTGGAAGGACAGATCAATAAGGTTACTTTTCATGTTATGATTTGTAATTTCATTTGGTCCTTTCTTTAATATGAAGAGGAACTTGGCTGACTGATACAGAACTAAGCAACATCCACCATCTACAATGGAGGGTCAAACACTGGATCTTCATAAGCAGATAGTCAAATGTAATCCTGTTCAATTGCTGAACTCCAAGTTCACTGATCCTGCAGCAGCCCTCAAAGCTAATGGTAATAGTACCTCCATCAGCAGAATTGAACAGAAGGCAGTAGTGCATGGATCAGTGGCCAGAGTGCTGGGATTCTTGGAATTACCTTAAGCTCCTGAGTGTCAGAGAGTTTTGCTTTCAGATCTAAGCTGGAGGTATGTGCTGCGACAAGTTGCTTCTCAAGGCGTTCCACCTTTTTCTTCAGCTTCCGCACGGTTAAGTTGGCCTCATCTCTCTCCACTGCCAGTGCAGTTTGTGTTTGTTTCTCTGCATCGAGTTGTGCAATCTTTCTCCTCAGCAGGTCCATGTGCAGCTCTTTGCTAACTAACTCGTCTTTCTGGGCTTTAAGCTGGAACAGTAAGCAGAGTCAGTCTCTTGTACCTTCTTAGACTGAAAGCAATCCATTTCTTTAAAATGACAACCTTAGCTCAGTAAGCATGCTTTAGACTTTATGTCAAAAGCCATTCCAGTGACATAAGCATTTAATCCCGGCTGGCATCTGAGTACGTTACTGAGAGAGTGCTGCAGTGTCAGAGATGCCAACATTTGGATAAGACTTTAAGCCCCTCATGTGGCTGTGTGTGTTCCCATTACATTATGATAAGTAGGTGTTCTTCCTGCCCTAGTCAATGTTTATCCCTCAAACAACATCAACTAAGCAGATTATCTAGTCCTGAACTCAATGCTATTGTGGGAGCTTGCTATGCAGAAATTGGTTAAGTTACAAAATAATCGCATTTCAAAAGTACTTCAGCTCTAAAGCACTTTGGGATGCCCTAAAGGTTTTTTTTATTTCTTTAAGACTGAGTAAAAGGAGTTTTCTGTACACCTGTGTTGTTCCTAACATGGGACTGTATGATTCTAAAATGCTGTGGATTCTAACCTCCAGCATCAGTATCCCTTACCTTCATGTGTACAAATATTTAAGAGACCAAGAAAAAAAAAGTCTGAAAAGAGCCTTTGGTGCAAATGATTTTACAAGCCCATAAATTATCATCCTGGGAGACTCTCGGTTACTGTTACTGTGTCTGTGTACAGTTGTAGCTGAGAAGTTTTTCTGTAAGTTTGGGTGTTAAATCTGAATCAACTGGCCATAACAGTAACTTACAACTTCCCATCTCTGTTAAGGTTGATATAAAGGCACAAGAGATGACTTGATATGGAGAGTTGGGAGGAACCAGGTAATATTTTCAATTCAGAATTGTTATGAAGAAGTTGTGTAGACTACTTGTGAATTGGAAGGCTTGTTTTGATGTTTTGGCAACTAGCTTGAATCAGCCAATTGATTTAAACCAAGCACTGAGCAATTGAAAGCCAATTGAATTTAAATCTGATGGTTTTGACAATCTTGGACCAATGCTATTATAAAAAAATTGATATGTCATCCAAGGTATATAAGGAGAGGGTTTTTGAAAATCGGGGTGAGAGCAAACTGCCATCTGAGAAATAAACAGCTAGCTCTCACAGAAATCTCTAAGCTCTCTAAGAAAGCACCATGTTATCCATAAAAGGTACCATGGCACTTCTAGCTAAGAGTCCTCACAGAAGAATTCACAGAGCGAACGTCCTTGACAGCAGGATCCGCAGAAGAAACAAGTTTATGACTGGAGAGACAGTGGAGAAGGCAGAGCATTCCAGAAGACACATTCTGTGTGGAATTTGAGAGACTAAGTTTTAATTTTTTTTCTTATTACTTGGGTCATATAAGTGGGACTTGCGTTTATTGGAACAGCATACCAGAAGAATTTAGTTCAGTTAGGGAATAGTTAGTAGTTAGGGAGGAATTGTTCTGTTTGTTAGCAGTGCTGTTCATTTGTTCACTGATAGGTTAAATAAATAAATTATTACTTGTTGCTTATAAAGTGAATATCAGGGATTTCCTTTCATTTACGCTTTTAACAGATTATACAAGGGGAGGCAAGCTTCTCTGGGTGTTTTGGGTTTAATTATTAGAAGGGAACCTCTATTCCCATCGTAACAAATTGGGGACGTGTGTTTCGGCTTTAATTATCAGAGGGATTTGACCTCCCAGAATGCAAGCAATGAGTGTGTATCAACAAGATTGGTTGCTCAAGGTACTGGGAGTGCAACCACTCTTGGTTGTATGAAGTTATGGTTCCAGTTTACATGCAGAAACTAATTACACATGCTCCTGCCTGGTATGGCTTGGCTGCTAACCACCTGAAAATGTACGTTCTCCTGAACCACACGTCCCAATAGCCCCATCAATCTCCTTCCCAAATCCATCCTGTTATCAGATAGAGACTCATAGAGTCATACAGCACGGAAACAGACCTTTCGGTCCAATCAGTCCATGATAACCATCATCCCAAACTGAACTAGTCCCACCTGCCTGCGCTTGGCCCATTTCCCTCCAAACATTTCTTATTTGTGTACTTACCTAAACGTTCTAACTGTACCCGCATCCACCACTTCCACTGGAAGCTCATTCCACACACAAACCACTCTGTGTAAAAAAAATTGCCCCTCATGTCTTTTATAAAGCTCTCTCCTCTCACCTTAAAAATATACCCATTAGTCTTGAAATCCCCCACCCTAGGGAAAAGACACCTGTCATTCACCTCTTCTATACCCCTCATGATTTTATAAACCTTTATACGATGACCTCTCAACCTCCTATGCTCCAGTGAACAAAGTCCCAGCCTATCCAGCATCTTCTTCTAACTCAAATGCTCCATTCCCAGCAACATCCTGATAAAGCTCTTCTGAACCCTCTCCAGCTTAATAATATCCTTCCTGTAACAGGAAGACCTGAACTGGACATAATACTCCAGAAGAGGCCTTACCAACATTCCGTACAACCTCAACATAACGTCCCAACTCTTATACTCAAAGGTCTGAGCAATGACAGTGAGTATGATAGGATCTATAGATAGGATCGATCAGATAAGATAGATAGGATCAAGGCAGGTGGGTTGTATAGTGTGAGAAAGTAGGTTGTGCTTGGGTGGTGCAGGAGATTAAGTGGCTAAGTGAGACCTCATGAGCTGTTAGAATGTAGAAGAGTCATAGCTGAGGAATTTTCATTAAGTTTTTTTCTTGCTTGTAATGTTACCACTAATATATTACTTGATAGATTTACCATCAGTCAGATTAATCTGACGATAAGAAGAGTTGTAAATCTCCGATCATTCTACCTTTCTCTTCAGGTTGTACAGAACGGTCTTGTTCTCAATAATGGCCTCATTCTCCATTTTAACCAGCTGATCAGCACGAGCAAGAATTGCATCCAGCTGCATATCGAAGCCAATCTCTGCTGTCACCCTCTCCAGTTTCATCTTCTCTGCTATGTCCTCCAAGAACTTCAGATACTTTGTAGAAAATGAATATTTTCAGAGTTACTTTGCATGCATTTTTACTATTTGTTTGCAAACACATTTTAATCTTTCAATGAAGATACGGAAATAATCATATAAATTATCCCCTGTTTAATGCTCACATCATTCCTTGCTGCATATTTAAGTCTGGGTTTCCTTTTGTTACAGTCATGCTTAAACCCAAAACACTACGTCCTCAAACATAGCCGCGTGTCCCAGCATCTTTGCACTTCACCAGATGAGTTCAAGGAACTGAGTCAAGGGGAGGGCACAGGCTTTGTTATTCTATCTTGGCATCCAGTGAAGATAGTGCCTTACTTAGTAGCAGGACTATGAGAAAAATCATAATTTAGCTGGAAATCCAGCTTAGCAAAATACTTGTCAATAGTCTACTCAATGCTCATGCATTTTCCTGAATTCAGAACACTTTTTTTTTAAAATTCATTTGTGGGATGTAGGTGTTACTGGCTGGGCCAGAAGTTGTTGTTCATTTCTCGTTGCTGTTGAGAAGGTGGTGGTGAGCTGCATTCTTGAACTGCTGCAGGCCACATGCTACAGGTAGATCTACAATACCCTTAGGGAGGGAGTTCCAGGATTTTGTTCTGACAACACTAAATGAACAGCAATATATTCCCAAGTCAAGATGGTGAGTGGTTTGGAGGGGATCTTGCAGGTGGTGGTGTTCCTGTGTCTGCCCTTGTCTTTCTAGATGGAAGTAATTGAGGGTTTGGAAGGTGCTATCTAAAGCTGTCTGGTGAATTTCTGCAATGCATCTTGTAGATAGTACACACTGCTGTTACGGAATATGGTGTCTCAAACAGAGAGGAAGCCGAGAGCAGTTTGAGAGCTGCAGCAATCAAACATTGGCATAGCACTTGGCATTCAGTATTAATCCTGGCACCAACATTTGAATTTGTCCACTTTCATTTCCTACAGCTTTAAGAGGCCTTAGCTGAAGCGGGAGAGGAGCTGGTTTATGCTAATTAATGAACTCATGTGGCAGGGAGCTGAGAGTAAACCCGGAGAATTTTGTAACCTTAAATGTCCTGTCCCTTGGGGTTAAAGAGGAGACTTGCTAACACAAAGGATGAAAGAATGCAGGTTGGAGGAAAACTGAAAGAAGAAAGCTCCATTCTGTTGGGGGCAACTGGAACAAGTGTCAAAGTTTTCTGTTTGATGTTATCAAAGCAGTTTGGATGCTGAAACAATGAGAAAACAAACTTTAACCAGCATTACTTTCTGTTTGTCCTGGCTTAAGGTATCACACAGCACGTCTCCAGTTAGCAGGTTTCCCTCCAGGAATCGAACTTTCTCCTGAAGTTCTGATAGCTCTTGCTCTGCCTTGATGCAACGTTGCAGTGCAGTTTGGTGCAGATCCACCTGCTTCTCCAGTTGCTGTGTCAGTTTGGTCACATTCTCTTCCAGCTGTGATACTGTCTGGGAACACATGAGAAGCACAAATTTAAAGCCCACTGTCACCGTTTGGTGCCAATGTCATTTTGATGTGCTACTCAGCACCAAGGGCAAGAAGATTTCAACAACTCTCTAGGGCATGACAGTGAGCTTTTCTCACGTAAAGCTTCAAGGTAAATATTGGAGGAAAATTAAGTCAACAATGCAGCAAAAACTGCGTTACAAACTAATGTTCCAAAAGAGAATTAGATGGAGCTGCTGGCCTACTCTCATTCTATATCTCTTCACCTTAACTAGCCTGTATATGAATTGAGTCTCTCTGGCCTGTCCCACCATACAATGGTTATTCTGTACTCTGAATCCCAGTTACTCACCTTGGTCCACTATCCCATGATACCCTCACCAAGTTAAAAGCTCAGGCTTGGACAATTCAATTGGCCTTGAGTATCTACTGCCCTTTTTGTCTGAGGTATTGCACTCTGACCCCATTCCTAAATGCCCTAACTTTCATTTTAATGTTCCCCTTTGTCTGGATTCCCGCATCCAGATGAAATAGCATCTTGCAACCTATCTATCAAATATCTTCATACAACCAACACCAAAATTTGATGACTGCTGAACACTTTGAACTTAAGGGGATGATAAATTCAAGCCAAGTGTATGCAACCCACCATCATCATTCAACCCTTTAAGTGATGGTACGGTTCTAATGATACAGTTGGATTCCCCTCCATGGTCAGTGTATCTGCCCTGAGTTCAGTACTGCAGCAGGCAAATGATGGGAGCAGCAAATATCAGCGAAGAGAACAGGCTGGTTACTGCATCATCAGAACGGAAGATTGAAGAATAAACAACAAGTTTAGGTGGTGCAAAATTGAAAGAATTAATGCATTAACTGAGACCTTGATTAATGCATGTGCGGATTTCTCTCTTCTCCCTCTGCACTGTTCCTCTATTTTCCCACCTTACAAAAAATGCCTGCTTGTCATTCAATCTTCAATTTTAGGGAACATTTGCCTGCCCTCTGCCCTTTGCCCAGAGAGATGCCGCACACACACAGCATTTTCTGCTTAAGTTTCGAGCCTGCAGATTTATCTTTTCTAAAAATCTGCTTGGAATATTTTTGTGGCATTTACAAGCACTTAAACATTGGCTGAAGTAGGGGTGGTGTCCTGCTAATTACCTACATCTAGGGCACTCCCATTCCATAGTTTTGAATAAATACTGAATAAATAGCTCCCTCCAGACATTACATCACAGTCACAACATAATACTGAAAATGTTTGCATTTCAGTGACTCCATCACTGTTTCTACATGATCATTGTTACCTGATAATTAATAAAGATGTTCCAGTTGATAAGCGTTTGACAGAAGCAGAACATAGTCAAAAGTACAGTCACCCTGCCTGACTCATTTCTTTGTTTGGTCGTTTATTCAGTTACTGGTACTGCTGGGTTGGTTTTAAGAGCCCCACCTATTGAAAAGTTTTATGGATGGACTCAGGATGCGTGTAGATCTGATGTCCCAACCTCCAATCACAGCGGACAAGGCTCTGAGCTTGCATTTGTAAGATCTCCAGGGAGGCTCGCAATGTTCAAATGAGTGGATGCCGTTGAACTGTTGGCCTGAGCTGAAATTGGTCTCTCAAAGGCCGACTGTACCTTGAAAGCTCATCATGCATTTATGAACCATGGTGTATCATTAAGCAAACTGTATAACAAGACTGCTCCTTCCATAGATAAACATGGAGCTCCATAGATTGGCACCAGAGATTAGATACTCAACACCTACTCAGCAGTAAATAGAATTGTACAATAAAACTGGCATTCATAAAGGCCTGGCACCAAGATATTAGTCATACAGTTCCTGAGAAACACTGAACTTCTGCAACTCAGCGAAGTCCAAACCCCTTGCATCATTTGTATCTGCAAACTCAGACTCACAAGGAACCAGGTCCAGGGGAAGGAGGCAGTCTTTAAAGAGATCAGCAACAGGAATGTGGCCACTCAGCTATAGACCCCACATCATTTGCAAAAACCGCAAATAAGTCTTTGATTACCTGTGTCTTTCCAAATCCTCTGTGTAAGGAAGATATAACTGGCAGAAACAGGCAAATGACAACACAAATCAGGAAACAGCAATTGTAACTGACAAGTATTTGATTTCTTGTTTGATTACTTGACAACGCCTTCTTACTATGTTCAATAACAGTTTCAGTCGTAGGCTGCAGCCAGTATGTCCGCTGCGGGCATCAAGATCTCAAAGGGTTGTATAGCAGCCTGAGTCTGATACATACAATGGCTGGCAGTATTATAACAAAGGATGGCAGTTGCAATGCCACTTACCTACTTCACTCACCCAATCAGTAATAGGCACACAGATCTCTTCCCACCCCCCATTAATCTGGGCAGCTTTCCCAGAATGAGGTATGTGATGAACATGCAGCTACTCCTATCTGATTCAACCCCCAGAGCTGAAGTTTCTCATAAAGTCACAGAATCATAGAGTCACCGACTCATACAGCAGGGAAACAGACCCTTCAGTCCAACCAGTCCATGCCGACCATAATCCCAAACTAAACTCGTCCCAGCTACCTGCGCTTGGCCCATATCCCTCCAAACATTTCTTATTCATGTACTTATCCAAATGTTTTTTAAACATTACAACTGTTCCCACTCCCACAACTCTTCTGGAAGTTCATTCTATACATGAACCATTCTTGACAATCCTCTCCAGCTTAATAACATCCTTCCTACAACTGGGCAACTGGAACTGGACACAGAATTCCAGAAGATACCTGGAACTATTCTTGTAAGTCATTTTTGCACCCTCTCTGTTGCATTCTCATCTTTCCAATAGTGGCGTAGAACTGTACACAATCCTCCAGCTGAGGTCTAACAAGTGTCTTGTACAACAACACCTCCCTGCTCTCATAATCTATGCCCCTATTAATAAAGCCGAAAACACTGTATGCTTGACTGTATGCACAGACCTGCTAAGCTTTTCCAGCAACTTCTGTTTTTAAACATGTATGCTTTATTTACTGCTATCTCTCTCTCCTCTTGTACTGCCACCTTCTGTGCACATATTCACCCCGGTCCCTCCACTCCCTTTAGAATTGTATGCACTATTTCATGTTGTCTTTCAGCGTTCTTCCACCCAATGTGTATCACCTCATGCTTCTCTGCATTGAACGTCATCTGCCACCTATCTGCCCACTCCACCAACTTACCAACGTACTTATGGAGCTCCACATACGTCCTCCTCAGAGTTTACAACTCTTCCCAGTTTAGTGTCATTTGTTTCCTGCACACCAAGATCCATATCATTAAGAGATGTCAAGAAAAGCAAGGGTTCCACTACTGACCTCTGGGGAACTCCATTACAAACGTCACTCCAGCCCCAGGAAAACCTTGTCCCATTTTGATGTTTTCTCCAAACTGAGTCAGTAATAAATCCCTCTATCACCTGATTCGTGCCACCAATCAAAAAAAAACTCTTTGTGTCTGTTACTTAGCATATTATAAATTCCCTTCAGAAGAATGCCTCCAATTTTACTCTTTCCTACCGGATAGACTAATTGCATTTGGTGCACGGTATCAATACCATGGAAAATGGCGTGGGATCTTTCACTGAAACAGGCAGATGGGGCCTTAGTCCTACTTCTCAATGGAAATACTGCACACAATGCAGCACTCCCTCGGGGCGGTATTAATGCCAGCCTAGATAACGTGTTCATTTCCTGGGATCCACTCAGAAGGCAGCTCAAAAACCAAAGACAAGTTACACTTACTCTAATCATTTGTTTGCTTTAATAACATCTCTGTTTTGTCCAACCGCCTCTTAATTTTCCCCTACCCTGTTTCTTTTTCCCCTTTACTCCCCTTTGCAATCACTCTCAAATCTTCTCAGTTCAGTTTCCATTGATGTTTAATTGTTATAACTACACCATTCTTGGTCTGTGGTGCTTTCCTTCTAAGGGTATGGGGTGGGCCGTGTAGGACTGATATGAGGAGAAATTTCTTCACTCAGATTGGGGAGCCTGCAGAATTCTCAGCCACAGAAAGTAGTTGAGGCCAAAAGATTTAATGTTTTCAAGAAGGGGTTAGATATAGTTCTTATAGCTAAAGGGAGCAAATGATATGAGGAGAAAGCAGGAGCAGGGTACTAAGTTGGATGATAAGCCGTGATCGTATTGAGAGATGGAGCAGTATTGAGCCGCTCAATGGCCTACTCCTGCTCTTATTTTCGATGATTCTGTGCTTCATCCACACTGTCCCTTTCTCCAGCATTCTCACAGACAGCTGTTTAGCTGTTGTTTCTGTGCAAATTCCAGCGCTTGCCAACTGCTCAGAACCTAAATGTATAGAAGTTCTTGACGAGGTACATGAGTATTGGTCTCCAACTGCTTTGCAGGAACGCCAAATGCCAAAAAGCTTGTTAGCAGCGAAGCCAATGCTGACTTCAAATGGTAGGATACAGTTAGACATCATTTTTCTAATATTAGAGCTAAAAATGAAAAGCCAACTTAGCTCTTCAAATTTGAAAGGTGCACAGTGATGTAACTGAGATGTGTAAAATATATTCACCCATGAGGACACTGCTGGCAGTTTCTGGTCTTTGCCACCTTCACCAGTATGTAGTATTGGGTAAGGGTTTTCTGAGGTACTGCCACCAATCCTCCTTGACTTGGGCCTATCTAACAATCAGGGGAGAGAATACACCACTGTAGAGTATCTACAGGGAGGAAAAGGTCATAGATAACAAGAAGGTTTATTGCACGATAGCAATTAGTACAACCGCATTTGGTCAGGCGTAGCTCCTAAGATTTTAAGGAGCTGATACAGATACATCTGCTCTTCCCAGAAGCTCGAGCACAACTCCTCTCCAACCACACCAACAGAGTTGGTGGAGCCAATGTAGTATGAACATTAACCCCTTCAGGACCATTACCTCACATAACAATAAACAGATTTGCAAGGTGGAGGATGGAATGAAACCAATTCCTTTAGTGGGGGCATCA